TATTTATTTAATATGTCTAAACATATTTTTTTAAATTAAGTTTTAATTTATTTAGTTTTAGTTATTTTAGTACTTAAACTAAATGAAAATGAGAAATGTTGCCTTGGAGAGTATAGCTATAAAATCAGTGTATATTTATTTTAGTTATTTTTTTTATTTCATGTAACAAAACTAATTTTTATGTTTTAGTGAATGGTAAAAACCATGGGGAAAGTAAGTAAATAACCTCATTCAGTTTTTATTGATTTATTCTTACATGACAATTGTAGTGCTGACTGCTTTTTAAAACTCAGATATTTAGGGAAAAGATCAAATATGTTTTCCTTATAAAGTTATCAATAATTAAATATCAACATTTGAGTTAGTCCTGACTGAATGGGCTTAATTTAGACTAAATTTACAACCCTGTTACCCAAACTGGCCCGCTTTTTCATGAATTTTATTTAATTGTCACGTTTGTCTTATTTGAATTGCAATTAGTTTAAACCTGCATTTAGACAAAAATAGCAAACCTCGTATAAAATAAAGAGAAAACAAAGTTCATGAAATAGTGAGTTTGAGGCTGATGAGATACATTTCCCAACGTTTAAACGCCTCCTTTCACTGATCAGTTGTTGAAATTGACATTTGATCGAGTTTCAGATCTGTTTTTAACTCTGTATAGATGTCCATTCATTTCCATGACTGAAAAAGCAGCGCCCTCTGCAGGTCGAGTCGTGCATTTGCATCTCAGTACATCAACTCAACCTCACATTCACACGAAAGAGAAGGCAGATGCTTTTAGCAAATTAAAACTTTATTCTTGTATCATTGATGGCCATAAATGTTAGTTCCCAGAATGCAAAAAGCGAAGTGCTGAAGCGACTCGACAAATACAGTGAATCCTTGTAGTGCTACACTTGATAAACTTTGACATTGCAGATTTGTATATATATATATATATATATATCTCTCAAATCTTATATTTAGATATAATTGTTTTTTTTGCGTGTATATATAAAATAAACATTTTATTGCAAATTCATTATGATGCACTTAATCAAATGACAATGAATTAAACCAGTCTAAAAGGACATGAATAGATTATATGACAGATTAATAACATTCAGACAAACAAAGGAACAAAATAATCATTCCTATGAGTTAACCTGGTTAAAAATCCTACAAGTTGACCCATATAAAATCAACCAAAACTTTCCAAAACATTCCATGACTTTAGATTAAACAGAGAGGTAAATTCTGTGCGTTTACTGTAGTAAAAGTTCATTGAATGATGGCTTAATTATTGCTATTTTAAAAATGATTTGTTTGAAATGTTGTTCATGATAAAGTGCTTCAAACGGACTCTTAAATCTGTGTTTAGAAGCAAGGCTATGAAACTAAAGTAAAAGCTGAAACCTCACGATTATGAAAACCGATTGTTCCTTTGACTTGTATTTGGTGTCTTTGGGTAAAATAAATAACAGCACATAAATAATTAATGCACATTTCAGTAAATAGTTTTATAAAGTCACTTCATTTAGAGTTTAAGCATGTTTGAGAGCAGTTACAGTTCTTCAGGATAATCCATAATCAATAATGCAACAGCAAAATTGAGAAAAGACCCTGAAACGTAAGCAAAAGTTGAATATTGCAGGTAAAGAGTGTCATTTTTGTGCAAACCAAACAGAAAAATAACTGAATGTTGATATAACAAGTCATTTAAAGGTTATAATCATGTGAAAGTTGAAAGCATCGCTCATGGCTTCATGTACAGACATATTAACAATCATTTCAGAGAGAACAACTGAACTTTGTTCAGTCTTTAGTCTGCATTCGAGTGCCGTCGTCACAAATCAGATGAAAATGAGCTCAGGTTATTAAAGCGTGAGACGACTCATCTCGAGTCTGGAGCCAAACGATAAGCACCAATGATGAGACAAGAAGATGAATTATCAAACCAGCTGAAACGGTAATAAGCTTTCATTATTACAAACATGATGCATCTGAATCTGCATCTGCATGATCACACACAGATGAACAGCAGTTTAAAGTAAACGCATGCACAAAAACAGACTAAATAATGTAAACACAGAATCATCCATGTGCTTTATGATAAACAAGGCAAAATTAGGCAAAGCAAAAAAAAAAGCAAACAGTCGTGAAGCAAACTTCAAGTAAATAAAGAGGCTTTAAGCTGAATATGATTAGAAAAATTACACAATAATGTTAATCAACCAAAAGAATCAGTGGCAAGCAATAAAAAAAAATGACATAAAACACAAGGACAAACAAAATGCTGATAATATATGCAAGCAGGCAGACTTATTAAATATACAGAATAGCATTAAAACAAACATCAGACGAGGGCAGATCATTGGCATTCAGCTTCATGTCAAAGACAAAGAAAGTTTTAAAGAATAGTTCATTTAAAAATGTAAATTCTGTCATTATTTATTCACCCTCATGTCATTACAAATGGGTTAACTAAAACTAAAACCATTAAACATGAACTGAAATAAAATAAAATATATAATAATATAAAAACTTATTTTATTTTGGCTAGTTGTCAAGGCAACATTTTTCATTTTAATTTAGTTTAACCTAACTAAAATAAAAAAATAAAAAAACTATATATATAGTAAAAAAACTACTAAAAATGACAAAAACAAAACTAAAACCATAAAAAAAAAAAAACCTTATCTAAAAAAAAAAACATTTTATTTCAGCTAGTTGCATCATTTTAATTTATTTTAATGTGATGTACTAAAATAACAAAAAATAAAATTAAAAACTACATAAATATATTAAACAAAAAAGCAAAAAAAAAAAAAAAATGACCAAACAAAACTAAAATCTTAAAATTCACTTAAAATAAACACGAACTAATATTAAATAAAATATAACAAAATTAAACATTTTATTTCATCATTGTAATTTAGTTTAACTTGATGTACTAAAATAGAACTAAAATAAAAATTTATAAAATGTATATATTTAATAAACTACTAAAAATGACCAAAAAAAAACAACAAATACAACACAACACTGCAACGCCGTCCTCTGCTAAGCATTTACATCGCATACTGACGGCTGGGAACATTCGTCAAACACAACAGGACAGGTGAGACGAAAACCAGCTCATGCACAAACCCGCGAGTCTGACTAAACTCCCAAAACCAGCAGAAACCCGCTCAAGTGCATGAAACTTCAGCTAAGGCTCTAACGAATCTGATCAGAAAGGCAGAAGAGAAGACGTCCTCTCTACTCAAAGGCAAAAGTAAAATGCAAAATAACCAGTCAGTTAGCACTGTAATACTTCAAAGCAGAATATAGACATCTATGGACCTTGTAGAGTTCACATAATATATATAGATCTGATTTCACCACATCTTATTTAAAATAAGACTAATCTACTCTGTGCATGCAAAAGACTTTCTGATTTTGATATATTATTGATTCTTTTTCAGATATGCAATGCACCTCCAGAGCAGGATCTTAATGGCTGAATCTCCTCTGGTTGCAGGAGAATCAAAGGCCAGGGTTCTGATACTCGCGCTGCAAAGGCTTTAAAGGGAATAATTCATATAATTCATACTCCAGACTCTGCATAGTTCTTTCGGGATACAATCACACCTTTTGGGGGTCATGCAACACAAATCAACATTTCCGAACCTGAACTCATGTTTCCATCACACTGGCAGTAAAAATATATGTGTGTCTGTGTGAATGCAGAGCTAGATGGTGAAGGGTTTCAGGAAAATGTTAATCCGCAGGTATTAAAGGAATAATTCACCCAAAAACGAGATATGTTTTCATTTACTCACCTTCAGGTCTTTACTAGGGAAACCCAGTTCTGACAAATGAGGGGGGAAAGCATGCTTTTGTAAGTCATAATTATGCCCGAAGTCAAAATTATGAGATAGAAAGCCACAAAATAAAAAATTTTAAATTATGCCACATAACTTTCTATCTCACAATTTAACTTTTATATCACAATTTCAACTTCGTATATCAATTTGGACTTTGTCATAATGAATTTTTATCTCATAATTTTGACTTTATGTCCTAATTTCCACTTTTATATCTCATAATTATGACTTACTGCATGCCTTCATTTATTTTTGACTTTATGCGCCATAATTTCACCTTTTTATTTAATCATTTTGACTTAGTATGTCAAATTTGATTTTTTTTTCTCACAATTTCAACTTGGTCAATTTCGACTTTCTATCTCATAATTTTGACTTTGTAATAGTTTTTATCATAAATTTGTCTTAGTATGTCATAATTCTGACTTAGTGTCTCATATTTTGATGTTTTATGTCAATTATGGCTTATCTCATAATGACTCAGTATCTCATTTTGACTGACAATTTATGACTTTCTCATTATTTCCATTTATGACTTGCTATCTTGTATTTTGATAAATCATAATCATCTTATCTCATAATTATGAATTAGTATCTCATATTTTGACTGTCGTGATGACTTTTTATCTCATAATTTTGACCTTTTGTCCCAATTTCTGCATGCCATAATTTCTTTTTGACTTTATGCGCCATAATTTCACCTTTTTATGTAATCATTTTGACTTAGTAGGTCAATTTTGACTTTTTATCTCATAATTTCAACTTGGTCAATTCCGACTTTCTATCTCATAATTTTGACTTTGTAATAGTTTCTATCATGAATTTGTTTTATGTCAGTTATGGCTTATCTCATAATGACTCAGTATCTAATTTTGACTGACAATTTATGACTTTCTCATTATTTTTATCTCATACTTATTTAGTGTGTCATAATTATGAATTGTTACCTTATATTTTTATTTTTATGCCATAATTATGTCTTTTCATCTCATAATTATGAATTTGTATTTCATATTTTGACTCGTGATCATGACTTTACTCATAATTATGACTTAAATAGTCAAAACATGATGTACTATGTCATAATTATGACGCTGTCCTCACAATTATGACTTAGTATCTCATATTTTGAGGTTCTATGCCATAATTATGATTTACCATGATTTTTTGTGGCAGAAATGGGCTTCTATAATTGTATGACTCCAGAAGAATTGGAATATAATGTACAAAATTATACAGATGACAGTTTGGATACTTTTATGATGCTTTTTTTGTCCTTTTTTCGGAGATCAACAGATGGGGTCACTAAGGAAAATGAGCTGTGTGAAGATCAACATTTGTCTTTCCATGGAAAAAAATTAGCATATGGGTTTGGAATGAAACAAAGGAGAGTAAAAAAAAGACAGAATTCTGTCATTTCTGCATGAACTATCCCTTTAAACCAAGGTTTACTGATTCATCGGTCCAGATGTTTTCCAGAGTGGTCATGACTTGAGTGCATTGAGTGCATTTAAAGGGAATTGAAGACTATTAGACCAAAATGTTCTTTGATATAAAGTACAAGCAAAGACAACAGGAAACACAATCACAACCAATCAAACTGGTCAAGCAACCTTTTTGGTGTAAAATAAAGTCTTTACATGTGTAAATCTCTTGTGCAATCACAATGAGTAAATAGTTGTTTCTCAGGTTTGTTATGTGCACTGCAAATAGAGCATGACTTGAATGGTCCTCCATGAGTGGGACGAAATAATAAGCCCGTGTAAACACGCACCATCTGTATAATAAATATGAGAACGGCCATAATTTAACCAGTTTCATATTGCTCCTGATAAATTAGTCTAATTCCCCAGGAGGTAAAACACAACTAGTGATGCACGCGTCACAAAAACAAAGGCAATTCATGTGAATGAACACAAAATCATCGTGAACTAGAAAATGCATCAATGCTATGAAAACAACAACAGAAGTGTTTCACCTGAATAGACTGAACAGTGCGACCGTTTGGTTATGCATAGATCTGTTCCCCTCGTGTGGAATATTATTATTCCATAGCAAACGCTGGATGGGAACATTTGCTTCCGAACCGGACATGATGTGACCACAAATAATAAACCTGATGGTGCTCAATGACAATCTCTCATCGCTTAGGATATGAGTCACATCATGCCTGGTGAGGACAGTTGTTAGGCTTCACATGATAAGAACAATGACAAGCAAAAAAATAAATAAATGGCTTATTTTGATCGCTTCCTTTCCTTTCATTTCCTTTATTTTGGTTCATTTTCCTGTCATTCTCGTTTTGGCTTGCAACAGATGATATATCTGTCCTCGTGTTTCAGCAGTTAACGATCCTCCATGAGGACTGCAGATACAGGACGTCTTTGAGGAGGCGGCCGGTGCTCGTTCATCCTCCTTACGACAGACGGCTGCTCTCTCAGGGGAGGAAGGGCTCGTCCTCATCTTCCTCTTCGGCGGCGGGGCCCGGGTCACTCAGGCAGCGCATTAAACGTTGCTGCGGCTCCTCGTCAGGAGTTTTGTCCTTCCTCTGCTTCGCAGGAGAGGGGACTTTCATGGTCAGGCCGCCTTCCTCCTCCTTCGGCTGGCTTCCCTTCTTGCTGAACTCGTCCACCACGTTGACGGACTCTGGGCTCTGCGGTGAGGCGAGGTCCACTTTAATGGTGGGGATGCTTTCTGTGACGGACTTGAGGCCCCATGCTTGAGGGTCTGTGGGAGGGAAGCGATCAGGAACTGAACAGATACTACACAGACAATCAGTACTTAACTCCAGTGTTGTTACTGTTATCTTAAACTAAAGCTATTAAAAATCCATTTTCAGTAACTAAAATAAAGCTGAGTATATATAAAAAACAGAAAACCAATAAAAGTGACAAAAACACAACATTACTAAAACTTAAACTAATATTAAAACAAAAACGGAAAATATAAAATTAAAAGCTAATTCAAAAATATTACAGTATATAAATAATACTAAAATAACACCGTATCAAAGATAAATTTACTTAAAAATCGCAAGTATGATTAAGTATATAATTTACATTATATAAAAGATATAAAGAATTTTCTTTTCTTACTTCATTTGCATACAGTTTTTTTCTTGTTGGAAGCAAAAATCTAATACAATTTAAAGAGGTTTATGCAAAAATGAGAAAAAAAACTATTTATCAATATGGGGTTAGAAAACTAACTCTAAAAACTCTAATCTTACTAAATATTGCTTTTCAAGAAAATGTATTTTTTTTTTTATATATTTAAATATTTCTACTGGAAAATACTGAACTTAAACTAAAATTAAAATATAAAAAGCTAATTAAATTATGTGCACTGCAAATAGAGCATGACTTGAATGGTCCTCCATGAGTGGGACGAAATAATAAGCCCGTGTAAACACGCACCATCTGTATAATAAATATGAGAACGGCCATAATTTAACCAGTTTCATATTGCTCCTGATAAATTAGTCTAATTCCCCAGGAGGTAAAACACAACTAGTGATGCACGCGTCACAAAAACAAAGGCAATTCATGTGAATGAACACAAAATCATCGTGAACTAGAAAATGCATCAATGCTATGAAAACAACAACAGAAGTGTTTCACCTGAATAGACTGAACAGTGCGACCGTTTGGTTATGCATAGATCTGTTCCCCTCGTGTGGAATATTATTATTCCATAGCAAACGCTGGATGGGAACATTTGCTTCCGAACCGGACATGATGTGACCACAAATAATAAACCTGATGGTGCTCAATGACAATCTCTCATCGCTTAGGATATGAGTCACATCATGCCTGGTGAGGACAGTTGTTAGGCTTCACATGATAAGAACAATGACAAGCAAAAAAATAAATAAATGGCTTATTTTGATCGCTTCCTTTCCTTTCATTTCCTTTATTTTGGTTCATTTTCCTGTCATTCTCGTTTTGGCTTGCAACAGATGATATATCTGTCCTCGTGTTTCAGCAGTTAACGATCCTCCATGAGGACTGCAGATACAGGACGTCTTTGAGGAGGCGGCCGGTGCTCGTTCATCCTCCTTACGACAGACGGCTGCTCTCTCAGGGGAGGAAGGGCTCGTCCTCATCTTCCTCTTCGGCGGCGGGGCCCGGGTCACTCAGGCAGCGCATTAAACGTTGCTGCGGCTCCTCGTCAGGAGTTTTGTCCTTCCTCTGCTTCGCAGGAGAGGGGACTTTCATGGTCAGGCCGCCTTCCTCCTCCTTCGGCTGGCTTCCCTTCTTGCTGAACTCGTCCACCACGTTGACGGACTCTGGGCTCTGCGGTGAGGCGAGGTCCACTTTAATGGTGGGGATGCTTTCTGTGACGGACTTGAGGCCCCATGCTTGAGGGTCTGTGGGAGGGAAGCGATCAGGAACTGAACAGATACTACACAGACAATCAGTACTTAACTCCAGTGTTGTTACTGTTATCTTAAACTAAAGCTATTAAAAATCCATTTTCAGTAACTAAAATAAAGCTGAGATCAAATAAACTATAAATATTAGATGAGAAACTTGAAAATTTGAAAATGAAAATTAGAAATGTTGCCTTGGTTAAAGTAATAAAATTACTGAAAAAAAAATTAAACCTAAAAAGAAATCGCATCAATCACACGAATGAAGGAAATACAAAGAGAGCCGTTTGAGAAGAGGAAGTGGCGAGCGCTCTCTCTCTGGCGGGTCCTCTGCAGGTTGGTGCGCAGGATCTTCCTGATCTCTTCCTCACGAGCCTTAGAGAGCTGCGGCAGCACCCGGTCCTGAGAGGGCTTCTTGGGCTGGATATTCCTGGAAAACATTGGGGATAAAAATAAAAACTCAGTATCCGAGAACAAAGGCTTTCCATACACAAATTCCAAACATACTACACACATTCCATGAATTCAACAAGTTATATTCATTCTAGAAATTCCACACATTCTCCACGCATTATATAAATTCCTTACACCTTCCATACAATCCACTTTATATATGCATTCATTACACTCATTCTCTAAATTCATTACACATTCCACATTCTATATGCAATTAATAAATTGCATTCATTCCACATGCATTATATAAATTCTCTATACCTTCCATACATTCCATATGCATTCCATAAATTGTACACATTCCACATGCATTCTCTAAATTCCTTACACCTTCCATACATTCCAAATTCTATATGCATTCAATAAATTGTATATATTCCACATGCATTCTCTAAATTCCTTACACATTCCACATAAATTGCATACATTCCACATGCATTATATAAATTCTTTACACATTCCAGACTCTATATGCATTCCACACACTCTCTGTGCATTCTCTAAAGTCCATACACATTCCAAAAATTGCACATATTCCACGAATTTCACAAGTTATATATATTCTAGAAATTCCACATTCTCCATGCATTATATAAATTCCTTACACCTTCCACACATTTCCCATTCTATATGCATTCCATAAACTGTACACATTCCACTCATTCTCTAAATTCCTCACACATGCCATACTCTATATGCATTCAATAAATTGTATACATTCCACATGCATTATATAAATTCGTTACACATTCCACATCCTATATGCAATTCATAAAATTCTATATGCATTCCATAAACTGTACACATTCCACTCATTCTCTAAATTCCTCACACATGCCATACTCTATATGCATTCAATAAATTGTATACATTCCACATGCATTATATAAATTCCTCACACATGCCATACTCTATATGCATTCAATAACTTGTATACATTCCACATGCATTATATAAATTCCTTACACATTCCACATTCTATATGCAATTCATAAATTGCATACATTTCACATGCATTATATAAATTCCTTACACCTTCCATACATTCCACATTCTATATGCATTCCATAAATTGTACACATTCCAGATAAATTGCATACATTCCACATGCATTATATAAATTCTTTACACATTCCAGACTCTGTATGCATTTCACACACTCTCTGTGCATTCTCTAAAGTCCATACACATTCCAAAAATTACACATATTCTACTCAAATTCCACACATTCCATGAATTCCACAAGTTATATACATTCTAGAAATTCCACACATTCTCCATGCATTTGATCAATTCCTTACACCTTCCATACATTCCACATTCTATATGCATTCCATAAATTGCACACATTCCACTCATTCTCTAAATTCCTTACACATTCCACATAAATTGCATATATTCTAGGGGTGGCACGATACCATTTTTTTCAGAACCGATCCCATACCAAAAGTTCTGAGTATCGGACAATACCGATACCGATCCGAATTTCTATACCTCAGTGTGTGTTGACCTGATCATCACTCTTTTGTGTGTTACACACAATCTACTAAATATAGACAACTTAATTATAAAGAAAAATAACAAATTAAAAAATATATAATCATAATCTATGAGAAAAATAGTATTATAAACTAGGTTAGTGGATAATTCAGCAGCAAAATTTACTCTACAAAAATAATGAGTTCACAATAATTTTATAAAATCTAAACAATTAGAGAAAAACATTATTTAGTGGGGGAAAAATAAAAGTAAATAGATGTAATCTGGTAAAATGTTACACATTGCTCTTTGTATTGTAATATACATTCATGAAAAACAAGTAGATATAATTATATATAAATATATGCAATAAATTAAATGCATCTCTTTTACATTTATAGCACAGTAATGAGGCAGCAACATAGGATAGATAAGACAGAACAAGAAAGTCTATTAACAATCTTTCATTGCACAAAAGTTTTAGAACATGAAAGGCTCCATTACGGAGCGGTACAAAGCGCTTATGCGCATCCCATGCGTAGAATGATGCGCTTGAAGCAACACGGAGTCACAGCACACAGCGCTCCGCATAGAAAAGTTCAAAGCACAAAGGGAGGAGACATTGACGCATAGTGTATTATATCTGTGCCATAGTTTATTGAGCCTTTTCTTTTAACAGTTTTAAATTTCAGTTACTGTGCGCGTGAAGAACAATTCATAGTGCTCTCTACTCCAGTGTAGTGATCTCTAACAGACACCCTCTGCTGCACCAGCAGGAAAAGATCTGTGAACTCAACCAACTAAACTGGTCTGGTTTCAAAATATCATCCAAATCTCATCGACACCACTCATTCAAAATAAATATCGCATCTAAATCATCAAGACCAGACATTCTGATTTCATACAGACTTCAAATAATCTTAAAATCACTCAAAGAAAAGCCGAATTTGACTTTCATGCATGACTTGTACGTACTTGTCCTTCCAGTGATGATGTCCGTAATGTCCGCAGATGTCCTCGATGCCGGTTAGCAGATGGTCCAAAAACTAAAGACAACGAGATGACAATTGATATGATGTTTAGGAAACATAAACTACAATATTGATCAGTAACACTGGGATTAACAGTTAAAAAGCAAACAGAAGCTCCAGCTGAACATGATGTTGATAATGAGCATTAAAGTGGACAGCGCAGAGATTTCTGACAGTCACTCACAGCATTAAACACCATGAGGCGCTCATGCAAATGGGGGTTTCCATAGCAACAATCAGCTTTATGAGTGGTGAATAAATGCCAATTTGTGGGTAAAATGTTCTGTACTGAGTTTTGTTCTGTACTGAGTGGATCCAAGCTCATGTCTGGCATACAAACTGCCTCCTGCTTTTTCTAAAGAATATTCATATTAAACTCATATAATATAATATAACATAATATATGTTATATATATATACACACACATTCAATAATAATTTGATATATAATTATTTTATATATGTATATATATATATACAGTGCACAGCATAAATGAGTACACCCCCTCTGAATACATATAAAATATGTATTTTCTTAATGATCACTAATATAATTAATATAATTCATGGAAAGACTTTGGTAATTGATCAAGCAGGCTTGTTGGAACATTACATCTCCAAAGAACCCTAACATGTCTTCTAAGTAAAGAGTAATTGCTGAATTTGTTAAGTTTTAGAGGAGGTGTACTCATTTATGATGTGCACTATATATATATATATATATATATATATATATATAATTTATTTATTATTATTATTATTTTGCATTATGATAAAGAGAATGTGCTTAATTGTCATGAAAATAATGTAAAAATGGGCTTCATTTTCTTCATACAAAATTGTATTAATTTCCCCCCAGTGATTTAGCTGTGAAACATGACCTGGAAACATTCTTATTTACCTAAATAGTCTATTTTTAGGATAATTAAGATTTCTTGCATTGTGACATTTTCATGACAATTAAGCACATTTTCCTGCTAAATTGTCAATAATGTGATGCAACATTTTACTTAAGTTTGTCATTCCCAATTCCTAAGGGGTGATTCTCTTTAGATACTCCTGAATGCATTTACCAGTTTAATTTTGTTTTATTAAATTGACTTTTAATTCAAATCAACAGTAAAAACTACAATAAATGAAATTGATTTTGATTATGATAATGATAATGATTTTTTTTTAATGCATTATGGTGCATAATTCAAATGAAAATAATGTCACAATGCAAAAATCATAGTGGTTTAAAAATCGGCTTCATTTTCTTTATGCAAAATGTAATTCATTATTTATGTTTTTACCTGTGATTTTGTGTTAAAATATGATCTGGAAACATTCTAGGCAGATTCTGAGAGATTCATTTGGTCACTTGGTCTTTAAATGTTTTGACACCTGTCATTCTAAATCTATCAAGCAGTATTTGTGTACACTGTAAAACTGTGACTGTACCAGTACGTGACCAGCAGGTGGCACTCAAACACACTCATCTTCACTAGTACTGGATGTTACACAAACCCAAACAAGAGAAGGACATAAATCAGTTATTATAATTAACTCATCTAACCCAGCCGAGCTTGTTTTATTATGAACAAGACTGTGTAATCTGATCTATTCGGGACTGGCAGAATATCGAGAAAGCATCAAATATTCCTGAATCACAGATGGGAGAAACTCAGAGAGGAGCAGAACCTGTGTGTGAATCTCCTCATTAATAGATCGCT